TAGGTGTCACCCGGTGCGGCGCGCACCCCCCGCACCTGCCTAGGGACACCACTGGTTCCGTTGAAAAGCACCCACACAGCTTGCAATGATAGGCTCATGAAGATGAAGTGTCTGGTCTAAATAGATCTGATCCATCCTGCAGGGATCAGCAGCTTGCTTTAAAACTTACCTTTTCGTGAAGCGGGTCCGGTATCACCCCATGTGATAGGTGTCACCCGGTGTGGCGCACACCCCCCCACACCTGCCTAGGGACACCACTGGTTCCATTGAAAAGCACCCACATAGCTCACAATGATAGGCACATAAAGATGAAGTGTCAAAGGACAATGTGAAATGTACATAAACCTTAGATTTATTGTACATTTTTTGTATGTTCTAAATATTACAGTCACAGTTTTTCCTTGGTCAGTCCACCAAATGGTTTCTTCTTGTTGCTTGAAACTGCTGTTTTATTCGTCTTTGGAAAAAAAAAAAAGAAACCCTATATGCCTTGTGTATGTGAAATATTCTGAACAAAGACACATTTTGATGTTTTAGTTTCAATCATTGCACAACTAACCTTAAAAGCAGTTTAAATGGTTACAAATGATCATGCGTAGGCTTTCAAAGTGAACCTATATTCTGGAAATATTACCATTCAGTCATAGGGAGACAAGCCAGTTGTCAATGATATAGAAATTCTGAAGCAGTTTTTTTGCTTATGGACACATCTTTATTTATTTGTTCCACTGTGCTTTTCTGGTGGACAACGCATTAGTGGAGGTGCAAGTTATAACCACTCTTCCTAAACCCTGCCTCTGATTAGATTTTTATTAAAATCTAGTAATAAAAAGTGGACGGGACATATCTCTGATGATGTGTGACTAGAACAGGTTGTGTCTAGGCACTCTCACATGACAAGAAGTGTTACGTTGCTTCTATCTGCAAATGATAAGATAAAAGTACATTGTTTTTGCTGATTTGCCTTGTCATGTTAAAGCTCTGGTCTAAATAGAAAAAAAACTATCCCTTGTCACTCCCTTCCTTTCTATTAACATGTAAAATCTACCTAAAAGCCCCAGTTACTCACCTGAATGTTACAGGCAGGGTACCACGTCATCTTTCTTTTGGTCTGCAGTGTTGGATGATCTTTCTTAAAGTGCCCATGTTTGATCCCTGAGAACGTGGGTACTAATCCTTAGCTATCAGAAGAGGGCCCTAGCGGGGAACTCACTGGGCCACGGAGACTCTCAGCAGTGGTGTCATGATATGATCATGTAAGGATTAGCAACAAGGCCACTTGGTGAGTATAGACAAGGCCAGTTGGTGAGTATAGACTGTAGCAGCGGATCACTGGTCTTCACTACCAGAAATGGTCTAAGAAGGTTTTTGTTTTTTAAATGTGTATGTGTGGGTGTAATAGGAAGTATTGGGGCGGGGGTTGTTTTTTCCAAAGATGGATGAATACAGTTGATTACTGTCTGATTTATTTTACATTTGTTTTTACTAACAGTTACATTTTTTAGGGCAAGCTTTTAGAGGTCTACCTTCTTTTGGGACTCAGTGTGCACTGGTGATTAGCAATCACCAGTGCACACTGAGTTTCCTGGAGGCTGTTTTGGATCTGAACGGAGCTAATATCGTCTGGACTTTTGTGCTTTGCTGATATCTGGTGGTGGAATTGAAAACTGATCCTCAATTAAAATCCTTTTTCCCTACATTTTCCTTGCTACTTGAATTGCAATATTTAACAGATGATTATATCTGATGCCCATTATATCTTCTACAACTGTTTTGGCCGTGTAGGCCAATTAAGATCTTTTTTTAGGTCATTTTCTCCTAGCTCCGTGAGCTTTCACTTCCAGGACTGCCTTGGTGGTAGACATTTCCTCAAAAAATCTCCCCTGAAGAAGCCCGTGAAGGTGAAACATGTAGGGAGTAACTACATTTACCTAACCAAAGTTTGAATCTCAGTTGGTATTCTTAGAATTGAAGTTGTTTTTATGTTTCTGTATTTTTTCCTTTCTTGTGTTTTTTACTAAAATATGAAATAAAAATTATATAACTTTTAATGTGTGGTATTCATGTCTATGCACCCTGAAAGTCCCATTTTCTCTATTGAATATTTGCAATTTTAAGGGATGTTGTGCAATAATCATATCTGGTCACTCGCTCACCACTTCACTGTTTCTGCCCTCAATGTATTCATTGCTTTGTATGTCCAAAGAAAAGGAGCTCTCTTAGATTAGAATTAGGGACCACACTTTAGAGAGGGGCCTTGGGGAGGTAGTGTTGTCTTCAAATATATTTGCAAATGTATGCACCTAAAATATCCGTTTTTTTATACAAATTGACAGCTGGTAAGTGTGGTGGGAAACTTTTTTTTTTTTGTATTTTAAAGTTCCCTTCAGGATCCAAAATATTCATATCTTTCATAGAATGGTCTGATTGTAATAAATGATGTCCCACAGCTGCGCAGTAATCATATTCCTTATGTTCTTTTATGGCGTGTCTTTATATATTCATTATTTTTGTAATCTCTGTCCTGTTTCACCAATGTTACATCCCTGCTTGCACATGTTACATTGAATAAGGAACAGCACATTACTGGAGATGCAGCTACATAATCCTCTAATACTGAAGGTTCCTTCCGTGTTTGTTAAACCTTTTATTGGATTAGTGTGGCTTCACAATTTTCATTGTTTAATGTTTCAGGTTTTTGTTTCCTTGTCCCTGTAATCAGAATGACGTTTTCTACAGGTTAAGTTATGGCTGAGGTTGGATAGTTGCCTGAAGGAGAGCACTGGGATTTGTTGAAAGGTTTCTTTCAACGTGTCATCCGCTCTTGTTCTGTCTCTCCAATCTAAGCATTGAAAGTGTGATCTCTGTAACTTACAGTTGTGATGAGATAGCGATAACTCCAATCTTAGTTGAATTACACAGGCAGTGACTCGATCGGATGACACTTGACACTGTAGATCTTTATTGCATAAACTGAGAGAATCTTACAACAATGAACATCTGATAGGTCAAAAGATTATAATGTGATCTGCTTCATGACATGAGGTTTGAAGCTGAAATGTATTACTGGGAAAAGGGACGGGCTATCTATACAGCAAGAACTAAACCAAAGGAAAGGGAGGAGCAGAGACAAAATATAAAGAACACTTAAAGGCATATGACAGTCCTTTGAAACATGACAGCTCTTATTGTTTGTGGCTCTTTAAAAGTATTTATTATCCCCCTATTAGTGTTGGAAAGGAAAACCATTGAAATACAAATATTAATTTTGTTTGACACAAGAGACAGTGGACTAAATGTGAACCTTAGCTTTCGAAATCACTATCAAACAGTTTTATGACCATTTTCACATTTGTGACTGCCTCAAGTGCCATAGCCCACTTATCTGCCATACATAGCTCAGATTTTGGCTGATTCCTGCTGAATTGGCCAACCTTCTAGCCATGGTTGGCTCTGTTGGCACCAACCAGCTTAACAAACATTGCCTGCAAAATCTAAGGTGTTGGGTTGAAAATTGTTGGCCAAACAGTGATTGCACCTAAAATGTCAGATTTATTATAGTCAGCCCATGTGTAAGTAGATCTACTCAGGTGCTACCATATCTATCCTTTAACTTCCCCAAAGCCAATGCATACCTGTATTGTTTGCTTCTGTGTGTACTGATGGTGCCTTTGAAACCCCACTATACCATCTCCCTGGTCAACCACAGCACTGACCCCTCCGTTTGGTTGGGAGCTACTTACATTGCAAGACTCGGGTCACTTGATGTGTTCCATTGAGGGGTCCTCTCTTTACGCCATGAAGATGACCTCTTTTTTTTTATTACCACAAACTCCCAACCAGGTTTACACTTGTACAACTTAATTTGTTATCCAAGATCCCATTCACCCACACCAGTGTAGCAAATTATATATCAGTTACTCTCTGTTAGCTACCAATAGCCTGGCTGCGTACTTTAGATGCTGTCACTCAGATACACAGGCTTCCTCTTTGAAAAACCAGGCTTCCAGCTAAAGACAACATCTTTTTACTTACTATACATTATATAATACAATTCCAAATCACAGCAAAAAGCAATATGTGTGGCCCTTAACTCAGCCCTGAAACCCATATTCTTTGGCACAATGCAGTATAACTGGTTCCATTCCAATGTCAGCTTTGGGTACAGGAAAACCCACAAGGGTAACCAGAGAAAAGGATCCTCTACCTCAGCACATGCTTATTACTCAGTTCACCTCTCCATCCACCCTGCTTCTAAGATCCACCCTGTATAAGGGAAATTTTCCAACGTTGGCAGAGATGATAAAGTATGTCCTGGGAGGGATAAGGAGGAGTCCAGAAAAAATGGAACTAGGTTAATCCCTAGCTACATGTGGGCTGTATGAAAGAAATCTAAACGTCTATGGCTGGCATAACTTCCTCACTTTTATTACCCTTTTTGTGTGTTGTCTTTGTAGATTTTTTCTTAACATTTTGCAAAACCTTTGTGCATCAGTATAGCTTGGGCCAAGAAGAAGGGGATAAAACCCGAAAAGCTTGTCCTAAAAGTTGAACTGTTGTTGCAAATAAAAAAAGTATTACAGGCAGTACTCAACTATGTTGTTGTAAGTGCAATAATACATCTACCATTGTGAATCCCTCTTAGACAACCAAACTTTAGATTTTAAGTATAGGTCCACTTTAAAGATCAGATATTTAGCGAGTTATGATGCAGCACTCGTAGTTTGGTGGAACATTGCCCAGTCCACTCCCCGTAGGTGTGACGTTTATCTCTTCTTTTGGAATCACTGGTTTGAAGCTGAAATTTTGAAGCAAAGATGTGAAATAGAGGAAGAGTTCCATTCTTCCCAAACTTTCTCCAAGGCATACCCTTTTTCCTAACCAAGAAAAAAAAACAAGGTTTTAGTAGCAATGGGAAGTCATTAGATATATCATGAATGTTGGATTAATTATTTAATTGACAATACAGCAGAAAAAGGTGGATAGGATATAAGACAATACTATGTAACATACAGTATTACCAAATTTGTCATTATCATTAATCCCTTAGTTGACTCCTTTTACTTAAGTTGCCTTGGAGAGTAACTGGTGTTTTGGAATTTCTGAAAATGGAGGAAGAGCTTGGATGAAAGAACATTAAAGAGGCTCTGTCGGCATGATGTTTCTATGTTAACCCTGTGTGTTCCCTAAATGTTGTATGGTTCTTCACAGTGCAGAAAACATAAAATCAAATTAGCAGTTTTATCAACTGTGCAGAGCGAGTTCTCTCTTGGGATGGTCTCTATAAAAACACTGTATATCCACATCAGATGCCTCCAGGCTCCAGTGATCATAAAATCTCAGCTATTAAACAGAAAGAATGCATAGTGCTCACTGCTTCATACTCTTTGGTTATATACCAAAGGTTGAAATACTCACAAAAAAACAACTGTGAGAACTTTAAGTGGTATTAGACCTAAAGTGCTGAGAGGTCCATGCTGCAGGTGAGCATACTACATATAAGTCTGGGACGCATGGTGGTGAGATAAGCTGCATGAATATAAAATGATAATAAACCTCCTAATTATTTTAGGAGGTCGACATTGTGGGGTTGGCAGACTACATACATATGGAAGGCACATTGTAGAAATATGGTATATAATGGTATAATAGCATACAAAGTGGTATTAGACCTAATATTGTGAGGTCTGAGATACTGCCTGGACAGTAAAAGGGCAGCAATAGATTGATGAGCTCATCCTTCTGCACACTCTGCTCTCGCCTTTTATCAGCATGTTTCTTATCTGCACATTTGCATGCATCACACCTGATTGGCTCCCAGTGCTGCCCTGAGCCTCCCTCTCCAAGTCTGAGTTCTGAAGCATTTCAGATCTCCTATATACTGGCATTAGAATTGTATTTGAATTTCAATGATAAACTCACATTAGAAATTAAAATAATAATAATAATTACCAGCACCAAAAGGCATGTGGGCATCATTCTTCTTAAAAGCACCTTTGTCATCCAGAAAATTGTTGGGGTTAAATTTGTGAGGTTCTTTGTAATAACCTGGATCATTATGGACAGAGGCCAGGAGTGGAGTAATGTGTGTTCCCTAAACACAAAATAAAATAACAAAAAATTACACTTAAAAGATATACTATATTTCCAAATGTATTGGGACGGCTATGAACTTTGATGGCATCCCAGTCTTTGTCCGTAGGGTTCAATATTGAGTTGGCTCACCCATTGCAGCTATAACAGCTTCAACTCTTCTGGGAAGGCCGTCCACAAGATTTAGGGTTGTGTCTATGGGAAGGTTTGACCGTTCTTCCAGAAGTGCATTTGTGAGGTAAGGCACTGATGTCGGACGAGAAGGTCTGGCTCACAGTCTCCACCCTAATTCATCCCAAAGGTGTTCTATCTGTCTATCAAAGGTGACTCTGTGCAGGTCAGTCAAGTTCCTCCACCCCAAACTCACTCATTCATGTCTTTAGGGACCTTGCTTTGTGCACTGGTGTGCAGTCATGTTGGAACAGGAAGGGGCCATCCCCAACCTCTTCCCACAAAGCTGGGAGCATGAAATTTCCAAAATGTCTTGGTATGCTGACGCCTTAAGAGTTCCCATTACTGGAACTAGAGGGCCAAGCTCACCCATTGAAAAACAACCTCACACCATAATCCTCCCTCCACTAAACTTTACACTTGGCACAATGCAGTCAGGCAAGTACCGTTCTCCTGGCAACCGCCAAACCCAGACATGTCCATTGGATTGCCAGATAGAGAAGTGTGATTCATCACTCCAGAGAACACGTCTCCACTGCTCTAGAGTCCAGTGGCTGCATGCTTTACACCACTAAATCCGAAGCTTTGCATTGCACTTGGTGATGCAAGGCTTGGATGCAGCTGCTCAGCCATGGAAACCCATTCCATGAAGCTCTCTAAGCACTGTTGTTGCTCTAATCTGAAGGCCACACCAAGTTTGGAGGTCTTTAGCTATTGACTCTGCAGACAGTTGGTGACTTCTGCGCACTGTGCGCTTCAGCATGCGCTAACCTTGCTCTGTCATTTTACGTGGCCTACCATTTGGTGGCTGAGTTGCTGTTGTTCCCAGTTGCTTCCACTTTGTTATAATCCCACTAATAGTTGACCGTGGAATATTTAGTAGCCAGGAAATGTCACAGATGGACTTATTGCACAGGTGACAACCTATCACGGTACCACGCTTGGAGTCACTGAGCTCCTGAGAGCGACCCATTCTTTCACAAATGTTCGTAGAAGCAGTCTGCATGCCTAGGTGATGATTTTATACACCTGTGTCCATGGAGGTCGTTGAAACACCTGAATCCAGTGATTTGGAGGGCTGGCCCAGTACTTATGGCAATATAGTATTTATATATATTTTTTTTAATTCCAGTACCAATGATAAATTAAAAAAAAAGTAAAGATAAAAAGATAACTTCATATTTATCTCTTCGAGTGAGCAAAGGGCAAGCAAAGTTCTACTCAAACTCCATTCTCTCAAAGGGTTATTTCTTCCTACAGCTGGGGAGGAGAAGGGACATCCTCGGCTTTAGAAAAAAAAGGTGGAGAGTTTACAGAAGCTCATGGTAGTCCATGATCAGCAACAGCCCTTTTGGACAAAATTTCCCCTCTAGGCCTTATAGGTAAAGGTATTTTTAAAGTGGAACTCCAGGATCTCCACTTTTTTCCAATCTGTTTTGCCTATTTTTGGCCCCTTTTTTATGACAGCATGCTGTTGCTCAGTGCTAGGACTTCCTGTATAACAACACTCCTTGCTCTGGAGCATGGGCAATTGATCTCTTCTTACTATTCCTGCTGTACACTCCACCCTAGCAGTAGGAGCTCAGATCTTTGAGTGACAACCTGCTGCTGCATATAGGAAAGAAAGGCATCATTGTCACCCTGTTACCAATGGGGACAGAATTTAAGACCGATTTTCTGAAAGCCTGCAAAAAGAAAATATTAACATAGTGATTAAAAGGTAAGATTTATTTCTTAATGGGAAGGGTTCAATACACTTTACGGCTTTGTAAGTTGTACACACAAAGCCTGTATCTGCATCCTTGGCCTGTGTATATCCAGCAGATGTGACAAAGGTATCTGTTACCAATCTGTTCAGGTAATGCAAATGGTTATACAGGAGAATTCGGTCGGTAGCAGGTTGGACGGTAAGCTGAGCTGGGAATTTTTTTTTCTATTATTTGAAATGCGTCACCCTTCCATGTGCTCCTTGCGGTTAAGGCCAGTTATACCAACATGGAAGAGAAATAAACTTCCAAATATATTTAGAAAAAAAATTATATATGTGACATATATTTACAATATATTGGCCCACGCTAATATATTTTAACATGTACAGTATTCTAAAAAATGTAAATTTAAATATATTTTCAAAAGGCATATATTTAAAAATATATATATTTTTAAATATATTCAGATTTTTTTAACATAAAAAAGGCATTTTAACATATATTTTTACATATATTTGTAAATGCATTCCAAAAATGTAGTAAATGTGTTTTCAAAGACATATATTTGAAAATGTTTTTTTTTTAAAATATTTTTCATATATTTTTTAATATATAAAAAACGCACTTCAATATACAGTATATATATATATATATATATATATATATATATAGAATAAGGCAAAAATTGCAGTATTTCAAATATATGTCAATATATTTGGGAATAATATTTTTACAATATATTTAAAAATATATTTTTCCTCCACATGGGTAGATTGGGACAGTAGCCATTTTTGGATATACTGGTGAGGGGATGCACTAGATACCTTGGCTGCCATTGTGCTATATGCTGGATGTCCAGCGTGTCCCTGTGCCTTTGAGGAGAGGTGGGCTCCCTCAGGCTCACCTACCCTCAATCTATCTATTATGATGCATGTGCTCCTGCAGTGGATGCTCTCAAAATTATAGATTTAGGAACTGCAGAATAATGGGGTGCTTTGAAGAGAATCTAACTGTATTTGCAAATGCATTCAAACTAAACCCTGTTTTTAATGCAAATGGTTAGACAGGACAATTCAGTTGGTAGCAAGCTAGTTGGTAAGTTGAGCTGCGAATTTTTCTTTTTATTGTTTGACATACAGTAGTAAAAATAGATCATGGTCTGCAATCTCAGTAAGAACAAACACCAAATTCTGTGTTTAATATAACATGACACAATAAAACTATATGTAACTGGCGAGCTAATAATCTCAATGCAATTTTCATAGTTGAGGATTTTAATGGTCTCTCTGCAACACCATATTTGTCCAGCAGATGGTACTGCAGATTAACTCAACATCAGTCTTTGACAACCTACAGAGTCAAAAGAAAGGAACCCTTTCCCTGCCCAACCCATCTTTTATTAACATTTTTTACAATAAGGAACCTTTGAAATAACTTTCCGATCTCAGGAAACCCCTGCTAATAATTACTATATCTACAAATCATGCTACATTAGTGTAATGTTCAGTGGGAAGATTGCTCCTTACATTTGTGGTCAGTGCGAAGAGTCTTTCCTCTTTATAGATAGCTAAAAATGTCTTTTACATCAGTGGTTACTCATCTGAGAGGCAGAAATTGCTCATTGCTTAAAGTGCAACTTTAGGTAAAAAATAAAAATCGATGGACAGGCAGAATTTTTAATGCAGAAGAGACATGCTGTGTCTCTTCTATATTAAAGCTACCTACCTGCCTGTCCACCTGCAGGCACAACTCTCTGTAAAAATTCAGCAATGCCAAATTTGATGGGACTCCCAATCATACGCAGGAGTCATGTCATCCCCTCCTGGCCAAAGACAGTGGCCAGTGTTTGGGACCCAATAGCTGGCCACTAGAAGATGTCAGCGGCCAGGCGGTGAGCTCCGGGACAGCGCATCAAGAGATCGGAAGAGAGTATTGTTCTGCTTTAAATAACTTTACTTAAAAAAAGAATTGTAAATGGATGGGGTACAGTATCGTTATCTACTGAGATGAATCAACTCCTGTGAATGATGTCCTCTTGGCCTTGTCAATCAAAGTGACCCAAGCTCAGAACCAAGACGAAGACCAGCCAAAAATGTCAGCGGCCAGTGGGGGTGCTAGTGAACACTGCATTGCTGGAGTGGTGGTGCGTATAGTTCTATCATAAGGAACGCCTAACAATCTCTAGAGCAGACTTTCTCAACCTTTTTACCCAAGAGGTACTAAAAAAAAAAACTCTTATTAAAACCAATACACTGAGGATCAATGGGAAAAATTCCCCTTACATTGGTGGTCATTTAGAAGTATACAACCATTACAGTGGTGGTCAGAATGCTACCCTCACAGACAACTAAAAAGATCATTAGTTTTATGCTGCTGGTTTTTTCAAGTGGTGTTGGCCTAGGTATAATGCAAGAACTAGTAAATGGACAATAGACAATCAGCTACAGCTCAAGGAACCCTTAGCAACCTCTGGAGAAACTCTGAGAATGGCTGCTCTAGTCTAGAGAAACCTACGGCTCCACAGAACACTGGTTGGGAAAGTCTGCTCTAGATACTATAGCTCTACTTATAGGCAGGGGTGTATTTACCACAAGGCAAACAAGACATTTGCCTAGAGCGGCATTTTTCAGGGGGGGCAGCACTGCCCTTTGGAAAAATGGACGGAAGAAGGGACACACACGGCATGGGGACCTGGTGGGTTCCGAGAGATGCTGTGGGTTTCATGACGGGGATGTCCGGAGCTGTGAAGGTGAGTGTCTTTCTCTCTCTCGCCATGGGGGATGGTGGCTGGTATATGGGGGGCAGTGGTAGTGGAAAGCTCGGGTGGAGGGCAGGGGTGTTCTTGGTCAATGTCAGGCTCTTTCTGCGGGGGGTGCCAATGTTTGTGTTGCCTAGGGAAGCACAAAACCTAAATACACCATTGCTTATAGGTAAGTTGAAAGTTGACCATCTACGTATTGAAACTTGAAGGGTGCTAAGAAGTGTCCACAATTACAGACCAATGCAACTTAACAACTCATCTTTCTACCTGTCCATAGAGCAGTCACACCGCCTAAAACTAAATTCCCCTTTGTCTTAAAGAATCGGTGTTCTCTTACCTTTGGAATTGAGTATCCTCTGAAAACTGTATCTTTGGATGTGCATCGAGGAAGACTAATTGGCAGCACATCACAAAACCTAATAAGTTCATGGATAGCGGCCTCTGTATATGGCATTTTACTTCGGTCAGCAATGCATGGGAATCGGTCTCTTCCAACAACACGGTCAATCTCTTCTTGCATTTTCTCTGTACCAGAAACAATATCAAGTAAACGAAAGCTAAATATATATTTCTTGTGACATTCTGAGCTCCCTATCTATCTCACAGTTTTACAATTATTTGTAGAAGGGGAGAGGGGAAAATTATTTAGAATGCAATCAAGTTTTGAGTAGAAGTTTGATTTAGAACACAATCAAGGTTTAGTTCATAGTAGGCCAAGCTACGGTCTCTGTCCTCTTGGGTCTCCAGCCAGCAGCAAATAACTTTCCACAGTGCCTCCCAGCTCCCACTTTGCTCCTTACCCTCTCATAATGATCCCTTAACACCCCACATGACCCCCAGGCCCCCTGAAAACCCCTGGTTCCCCCCCAACACTCCACAGTACCACCAGCCTTCCACAGTGCTCCCTAGCCCCCTACAGTGCCCCCTAGCTTGCTACAGAGCCATAGTGACCTCAAACTCTAACAGTGTCCCACAATGCCCCCAGTCCCCACCAGTCAACCATAGCTGCACAGCAACCCAGCATCCTGGAGAGATCCCGAGCCCTCTCCAGATACCCAATCACCCACTATTGCCCCCAGTTGCCTCCGGAAACCTCATCCCTTAGAGGGCCACCAAGTCTGCTGCACAGCCCCCTAACCCATCTGAAACCACCATTCCTCCACGGTGAAACCATACTATGTATTAGATATACTTATATATTTATTTTACTAGTCTATAGTATTGATTACAGAAGTATCCCAATGCACTAGAGACTCAAGTTGTGCGCATCAGTGCACTGCAATGCCAATCATTTTGAATGGCACCTCAATATATCCCCATTGCATTGCACTAGAAAGCATGGTAACAAGCACCCATACACTGTGGTGCACCATGTATTTTTCTGTCCACTCCGCGGCATTGGCTATGCATATTGTGCATTAAAGTACAACTAAAGGTCAAACTTTAAAAAAAAAATGTTTGTAAAGAGTGGGGAGCGATTAGAACTCTTGTCAGTTTGTATTGCTGTCTGTGTCCCCATTAGGGAGATTCACCCAAACCAGGCGCGGACTGACAACTCATGGGGCCCCCGGGCAATAGGGGATCATGGGGCCTCTGTGTCCTTGCCCAAACTCAAAAAAGCCTATGAAAAAGGTGCCAGGGGCATCTCATGGGGCCCCTACTGACCCCAGGCCCTCGGGCAGTGCCCGAGTTTCCAAATGGTCAGTGCGCCCCTGACCCAAACTATTAGTCTTGTTTACCATTATCATTGAAGGTGATAGTAAAGAAAATCCCAAGATTTGGGCTGTCCCAAGAAAAGTAATAGAGGGGAAATCTTCCAATGAGGACACTAGTTCTGGTGACGTTTGGGTCCCCAGGAGATTTCCTTAATTTGCAGGGATTTCCTATCATTTCCTGTTTTGGCAATGGGACAGGAAGTGAAGGAAATTTACCCCAATGGGACACAGATGGCAAAAAATAAACTGACAGGGGTTATGACCCTTTGCTATTCTATCCAAAATAAAAACAAAATTGCCTATAGTTCTACTGTAGGACACCACTGCAGAAGAGACAAGTATGAATGGGCCTTAAAGGTTTTATCCATATTGTGGAAAGGTGATGATTTTGGTTGTATAGGGAAATCACTCTTATGGTCACAGGTACCAGCAGTGGAATCCTGGCAATAAAGATTAAATTTGAACTCCAGGATAAGAAAATATTAACTAAAAACAAGAGGCATGTGCATTGTTACTTGGATCTTGGTGGCCTGTGTGTATTTCTGTGCAGTAATCCAATGTGAAATTTTTCCTTTTTTTAATAGCATCCTATGATAAAGACCTTCCACTGCAGCTCTCTCTCCTTGTGCAGAGTGACTGGTCTTGTCTCTGCCCCTTCTTGTAATTTTCTGCAGGCAGCCTGCAGTGGGTGGGGCTGTTGGGTCCCTCCCACAGAGCTGCTCTCCGCACAAGCTGCATTTATATCCTTTGCAAAGGCATTTGGTGCACACAACATTATTTATACCGGGGCTTGAAAAAGCCGCTCGCCTGCTCTCCAAATGCGAGGAGAAATTCCGCTGTGGCAAGCGGCGAGCTACTGGTAGCATGAGGCGATTCCTGGACCCTACAGAGGTTGCACAGGTAGTCCAACTCCTCCAGGATGGCACATCAGTACGTGCCTTGCCAGAAGGTTTGCTGTCTCCCAGCACAGTCTCAAGAGCATGGAGGAGATTCCATGAGACAGGCAGTTATTCTAGGAGAGCTGCACAGGGCCGTAGAAGGTCCTTAACCCACAAGGAGGACTGGTAGCTGTTCCTGTGTGCAAGGAGGAAAAGGATGAGCACTGCCAGAGCCCTACAAAATGACTTCCAGCAGGCCACTGGTGTGAATGTCTCTGACCAAACAATCAGAAACAGACTTCATGAGGGTGGCCTGAGGGCCCAACGTCCTCTAGTGCTCACTGCCTGGCACCATAGAGCTCAATTGGCATTTGTTCAATGAACACCAGAATTGGCACGTTCACCCCTGGTTCCCTGTGCTTTTCACAGATGAGAGCAGGTTCACCCTGAGCACATGTGACAGACATGAAAGGGTCTGGAGAAGCTGTGGAAAACTTTATGCTGCCTCTAACATCGGTCAGCATGACCGTTTTGGTGGTGGGTCAGTGATGGTCTGGAGAGGCATATCCATGGAGGGATGCACAGACCTCTACAGGCTAGACAATGGCACCCTGACTGCCATTAGGTATCGTAATGAAATCCTTGGACCCATTGTCAGACCCTACGCTGGTGCAGTGGGCCCTAGGTTCCTCCTGGTTCATGACAATGCCTGGCCTCATTTGGTGAGAGTATGAAGGCAGTTCCTGGAGGATGAAGGAATTGATACCATTGAATGGCCCTCATGCTCGCCTGACCTAAATCCAATAGAACACCTCTGGGATGTCATGTTTGCACCTCAGCCTGTCCAAGAGCTCAGTGATGCCCTGGTCTAGATCTAGACAGAAATACCCCAAGACACCATCCGCCATCTCATGACTTATGGCACGTGGGGGCCATACAAACTACTGAGTACCATTTTGAGTTGCTGCAATGAAATTTAAGCAAAACGGACTAGCCTGCTGCATAATTTTTACACTTTGAATTTCAGGGTGTCTTTGAATTCAGTCCTCTATAGGTTGATAATTTTTAATTTCCATCAAACGATGGGGCATCCTTATATTCCTAACACATTACCCAGTTCATATCAGTATCCAGCATGATATTTTCCCCATTGAGATCTGATGTGTTTTCAAAGTGTTCCTTTTAATTTTTTTTTGAGCAGTGTGTATAGAGCTGCACTCAATAACCATCCAAATACATGATGATGTGCAAATATACATATAAGAAACAAAAGAAGTTGGTATAGAATGTCTAAGTGCACATTGTTGTATCATAAATATTCAAAAAATATTCCATCCACCAAATAATTGAATGTGGAATTTCTATCTTTCCATCGACAGAGTAAATGATGGTTGTGAAAATCAACCAAAGATACCTGGTACCCTCCACCACATATAAATCTCTTACCAAATCATGTGGATCCCTGAAAACAGAGATCAACTTAACATGTTGAACATCAGACAACTCCAGACACTCAACGGTAGTCCACATCCGACCACCAGACTGCCAGCAAATGGATCTTGCATGGCTCCAAGGATTAAAACACCAGGCCAGACAATACCCTTCAGCAGCAATGGGAGAGGAAACAGAGGCTGCACATAGTGTAAAACTGCTAAGTAAGCCTTTATTAAAGCAAAGACAGGTAAATTACATATTAAAAACAAGATCAATGCAAAACACCAACAGCACATCAGCAGCACCTCAGCAGGCATGATGACGTCACCAGTTCAAGCTTCTCCTGACACGCCTCACATCAATGCGTGTTGTCAAGGGGACAGGATCAACATTTTATACCCTAATGCAGGGAATGCATTAAGGTATAAAATGTGTAGCCTTTACAACCCCTTTAAGTTATTTTTACTGTATTTGTCATAAGCCTTCACCTTCTCTACCAAGAAAGAAAATCTCTGGGTACAAATACTTTTACTTAAATGTACGGCCCAATAGCCACGAAGGATAAATAAAAGGACAAAATCACTGTGATCTGCATAGCCTGCACAGAGCGCAGAAAGGTGTGGGAGGGGCTCAGAAGCCCACCCACTATAGGTTCCCTGCAGGAAACTACAGGAAAGGGTTGAGACAAGACCAGTCACCTGCCAAGGAGGAAGAGCAGCAGTGACCCGTCTTTATTTCAGGAAGCTCCTGCTCAGAGGAAAATGTTCACACTGGATATCTGCATAGATCTGGAAGGAATACACATATTACACCAATAATAAAGTTCGAATCCATAGGCCTCTTGTATTTAGACAATATTTGTTCATCCCTGAGTTCAACTTCTGTAAATGAAAGCTATTAAGGAAGTTCTAAGGCAGATTATAAAGAAGATTGGGATGAATTATTATGTTCATCTGAAATGCCATATGGCATACTGTCAGGCCTAATTTCCTTGCAATGCCTCTCTCTCTAATGAGTCCCTGACCTGGAACAGATGTTTAGGTTTGGAGTTCAGCTTGTATAGACTTCACAAGATAGTAAGGCCAGGATCATCATGGCAAACCCATGCCAAAGCTTTGCAAAAGAATTTCAGCCATGGAAGCACCCATATTGTTATCCTCTCATGTTAACTTTTTAAGATTTTAGGATGACATTTTGAAATTACCTGCCACCTCCGGGTATTTCATGAGCACCAAGAATCCGTATCTCAGGTTAGTGCTGACTGTCTCCGTTCCTCCAAACAGCAGGTTTTGAATAGTTCTGGCTAAAGATTTGGCGTAGAATGCGGTGTCTGCATTGTCCTTTTCCTTCACATGTAAAAATGTTTAAAGAGGTTAAGGGTAATGGTATGTTTGCATAAAATATTTATTGTGTTCATTCTAAACAATAACCCGAAATGGTTACTCTTCCTTAGCCTTTTAAATAATAAAAAAAATTGCCTGGCCTTTGAATAGGAACAGTGATAATGTCTGTAATGCTAGGTGGGAGAGTCCAATGGCTATGGGACAGGACAGGGCGAAGCTGCCATTAGGAGTTCGTTTTTAAGGGTTTAGGGGCTACAATGGGGGTTCCCAACCTAGGGTGCCTGTACCCCCAGGGGTGTGAGATGGAATTTCAAGGGGTGGCTTGTGTTCCATAGAGATGAATCATGAGGCATTACTTGTGTGCCTTGAGCAGTGGTGGTACGTGGTTGTGTTGCGTAGATAGTAGACTTGTTTATTTAATCAAAAGGAGAGAGCAACATAAAGTTAGCATACACAGCGGGTAAAATAAGTATTGAACACATCATCATTTTTCTCAGTCAATATATCTCTAAAGGTGCTATTAACATGAAATGTTCACCACATGTTGGTAGCACCCATGCAATCCATACATACAAAGAAACCAAAACAAGTAAGTTCAGAAATAAAGTTATGTGTAATAAAATGGAATGACACAGGGAAAAAGTACTGAACATATGAAGGAAGGGAGGTGCAAAAAGGCATAGACACCAGCTGAAATCTATCGGTAATTATAAATCAATCCTGCCCCTGGTCAGTGCAAATGTTGGCTGGTTCAGTCTCGAATGATGGCCTATAAAAAGGTGTCTCATTACCAAGGTTCACCAATATGGGTCCAAAATTTTTAATGAACGATCACATAGTTACAGCAAGGCAACATTTCGGACTCTCGCAGGACACATGCCTGATGAAGGGGTCCTGCGAGATTTGGAAAAGTTGCCTTGCTGTAACTATGTGATCGTTCACTAAAACTTTTACACCCATATTGGTGATCCTCAGTGTGCTTGTGACATTCTCCCTTGCTGATCCTGTTCGGTTCCAGCTGACGGTCGCTGCAGCATCCACTTATACACACAGCCATTTTTAATGCAGGAAAGTGTGCCGTAATCTGGAAGAGGAAAGAACATCATTTCACCATAAACCAGCCATGACCAGGTGCTCCCCGCAAGATTTCTGACGGAGGAGTGAAAATAATTATCAGAAGAGTTGTCCAAGAGCCAAGGACCACTTCTGGAGAGCTCCAGAAAGACCTGGAATTAGCATTGTTTCAAAGAAACCAATAAGCAATGCACTCAAACACCATGGCCTGTATGCATGTTCACCATAAGAGACTCCATTGCTAAAGAAAAAGCATGTTGAAGCTCGTTTAAAATTTGCTGAATAACATTTAGACAAGCCTGTGAAACACTGGGAGAATATAGTCTGGTCAGATGAGACCAAAATTGAATTCTTTGGATGTCATAATGCACACCATGTTTGGATATCAAATGGCACTGCACATCACCCCAAAACCACCATACCAATAGTGAAGCATGGAGGTGGGCACATCATGGTGTGGGGCTGTTTTTCAGCAGACGGTACTGGCAAACTTCATGTCATTGAAGGAAGGATGAATGGAAAAATGTACCAAGACATTCTTCATAAAAATATGCTGCCATCTACCAGGATGATGAAGATGAAATTAAGGTGGACATTTCAGCAAGACAATGATCCGAAACACAAAGCCAAGGAAACTCAATTGGTTTCAAAGAAAGAAAATAAAGCTGCTAGAATGACCCGGCCAATCACCTGACTTGAATCCAATAGAAAATCTAAGGAAAGAACTAAAGATCAGCATTCGTAGAAGAGGCCCACAGAACCTTCAAGATTTGAAGACTGTGTGGAAAAATGGGCCAAAATTACACCTGAGCAATGCATGCGACTAGTTTCTCATACAGGAGGCATCTTGAAGCTCTCATTACCAACAAAGGATTCTGTACGAGGTATTAAATACTTAAATACAGGAACTTTTTTCCTGTGTCATTCCATTTTATTACACATAACTTAATTTCTGAACTTATTTGTTTTGGTTTCTTTGTATATATAGATTGCATGGGTTGCTACATGCGGTGAAAATTTTATGTCAATAGTACCTTTAGAAATATATTTACTGAGAAAAATGGTGACATGTTCAGTACTTACAGTATTTTACCCGCTGTATATGTTAACATACGGGTTAACATATAAGTAAAGTAATCAACTAACTGCCAGAGTATTGCTTTTAAAATTATTATAACAACAAACATCTGACATAATCATCATATATTGTTTAGTCATGAATTAATGAATGTATATTATTTCACTGATGACGTGATGGATATTTTGCTGCAGGAGACTTGAAGATATCAGAAGAAAGGCTCATAAATCCATATTTCTATCATTTGGAGAAAATGTCAGATGAAGAAGAACCGAAGGAAGATTTATGGATTTGAGGACAAATCATACTTTTGAAATGCAATTTGAAAAGAAGACTTTGGCAGAGATTTGGTGTGCAGCACTAGAGATAATCCCAAGACTTGGTGGAAAAACACTGTGTCCTCATTCTATATGTAGTTCTCTTTTGTCAATCAAGACAAAAAATTAAGAATCATCTGGATCCAGAGACATCCAGACATGCAGATCGTGGTCAGCAAGTAAATTTCACTTTTTGACAAAATCATGAATGACAAGCAGGAGCAAAGAAGACATGACACTTTTTTTAAATTCAATGAGATTAATTTTACCTTTTACATTTTTTTTTGATAAAATTAGAGTTTATGGTTGCATTTTCACTTAAAAGCTTATTTTTTAAAGAAGAATAGGTATGGATATTTTATACATGGAGACTATAGTCCACAATGTTTTGAGTTTAATACCACTTTATGTTCAATTTGTTCCTCCACAGTATTGTATGAGGTTGTTAAAAAAAAGTAGAAATTAGACTTCTTCATCTTCAAATCTGGTATTACTTTTGCAGGGAATGCGAACTTTAATCAAGTATTTTCTAGGGGTTGGAGCATAGATGAGGTTGGGAACCACTAGCCTACAGGTATGCAACTTTAATTAGGCAATGCATTAATGTGGTTAAAGTGGAGCTCCACTCAAAAGGGGAAGCTCTGCTTTAAGGACTGATTCCTGGCTCCCCATTAAGGATTGGTGCCTTTGACAGGTATCCACTCCCACTTCCGCCTAGGCTTCCTCCCCATAGTTTTCTGTGACATGTGACAGGTCCCAAAAGACTACGGGGCCATTCAAAAAGTGCAGCGCTACTCGTGCATGTGCAGTGATGCCCACACTGAAGATGCTGTGCTGGGAGAACACAGGTCGGCTGGTGAAATGGGCTGCGGGGGTGGGGGGACCACCGCAGGATCGAAGGACAGGTAAGTGTCTGTTTTCTTAAAAGTCAGCAGCTACAGTTTTATATTTTTTTTATTTTCACTGGAACCCCCCTTTAACCTCCCTGGCGGTATGATTATTTCAGATTTTTGGTGCTGAAAGCGGTACCATTTTTTTGCATGGAAATATGTATTTTTTTTATTGTAGGCTGTAATTTTTAGGAAAAACTCACTGAAATCTGTCCGAACAAGAGTCTAGTAAACATCCCGGGTATGATAAAATTTGAAACACAAAATCATAAATTATAATTTAATAAATAATCATAAAAATAATATAAAAATAATAAAAAATTTAATTCAATAATATAATCAAACCAAAAACACTGAAATGTGAAATAGAGCGCCAAGTTCGCACATCGCTGAGCTCAGTCGCAAAATCGTTTTCAGTTTCTGATGACGAATTTCCCCCAGGAATCATTATCACTCAATTCTGAAAGTGGTTCTAATTTATTATCGCTGTTCTCTAGCTGGTCTAAACCGCTTTTGACCTAAAGGGACACTTTTTGGACGCCATGGACATTTCTCAGTTTCCAGGCAGAAAGAACAGACAAAATGCAGGCAGGGCGCAGGACAAAGCACTAGGGACAATATGTATGTGAAATAGGTTGAAACAGCAATGTTTTACTGTGTAAAATGTAAAAAAAAAAAAAATGACATTTTTTAAAATTTTTAAATTTCCCGCCGGCGGCGGCGCCCGTACGTCCCGACGTCACAGGGACAGGACACAGAAGCCGGATGCCGGCATCGGCCGGAGGAGATGGCCGGGGACGCTGCAGGGGACACATCGTGGGAGCGCAGGGTAAGGTAAGTGAAGAACACTTGCCGGAGCAGTGCCGCAGGGTAAGCCCGAGTGTAGCTCGGGGTTACCGCTTTTGGTACTGAAATGTTACCCCGAGCTACACTCGGGAATACCGTCAGGGAGGTTAAGCAACCAACCCTTTATTGTGGTTACCATACAGAGGAATCACAAACAAGGAGATCCCCTGAGTATAGACTTTAGTTTAAATTACTATTACCTCTTTGATCTTCATTAGGAAGCAGTCAATGTAGTCACGTGGATTTTCAGGGTCTAGAGTTTCATTGTGGTGTTTGATGCTTTCGGCTGAAATCTCATAGATCATATTAAAATACTTTCCGATTTTCTTGTGTGGACCTGGCACATATTCCATGAGGTCTGGATACATGTTGTATAGCTGTATTGTCAAAACATAAAAATAAACCAAACTATAACTGAAATATGAAAGAGTAATAAAAAAAAACCCCATACAGGCAGTCCCTGAGTTACAAACATCTGACTTACATCCGACTCATACTTAAAAATGGAGGAAGCGTGATGTCACGCTGGTCCTGGAAACTTCCAGGCAGCCATCTTGCTGCTCACCGCATGCTGCCACCTACAGTCTGGTGGACCTGTCAGCAATCCCACACTTCTGCATGGCCAGTTAACCCTGTCCTGTACTATCCAAAACCTAAAAATAATTTTGTGGCAGGATTCACACTTAAAAAATATACCTGTTCCAACCTACATACAAATTCAACTTAAGAACAAAGCTATGGAACCTATCTTGTTCATAAAGCGTGGATTGCCTGTATTTTATTTTATTTACCCTGAGGACTCATACTTTAGTATAGAGTAACCTTTCTCAATTTTATTAAAATTTTATTAAAATTTTTGTTACCCTACAGCAGTGGTGGGCAACCTTTTTTTTCAACTGAGCCAAATCTCGCCAAAACCATGATTGAAATTTATTTTGAGAGCCACATTTTTAAAACTGAAAATACATCTCCCATATAGTAATTCATCCCCCATAGTAATTCATCCCCCATATAGTAATTCACCCCCCATAGTGTAATTCATCCCCCATAGTAATTCATCCCCCATATAGTAATTCATCCCCCATCGTAATTCATCCCCCATAGTAATTCATCCCCCATATAGTAATTCATCCTCCATATAGTAATTCATCCCCCATAGTAATTCATCCCCCATATAGTAATTCATCCCCCATAGTAATTCATCCCCCATATAGTAATTCATCCCCCATAGTAATTCATCCCCCATATAGTAATTCATCCCCCATAGCAATTCATCCCCCGTATAGTATTTCATCCCTCGTATAGTATTTCATCCCCCGTATAGTATTTCATCCCTCATATAGTATTTCATCCCTCATATAGTATTTCATCCCCCATATAGTAATTCATCCCTCATATACTATTTCATCCCTCATATAGTATTTCATCCCTCATATAGTATTTCATCCCCCCATATAGTATTTCATCCCCCCATATAGTATTTCATCCCTCATATAGTAATTCATCCCTCATATAGTATTTCATCCCTCATATAGTATTTCATCCCCCTATATAGTATTTCATCCCTCATATAGTATTTCATCCCTCATATAGTAATTCATCCCTCATATAGTATTTCATCCCTCATATAGTAATTCATCCCTCATATAGTATTTCATCCCTCATATAGTATTTCATCCCTCATATAGTAATTCATCCCTCATATAGTATTTCATCCCTCATATAGTATTTCATCCCCCCATATAGTAATTCATCCCTCATATAGTATTTCATCCCTCATATAGTAATTCATCCCTCATATAGTAATTCATCCCCCATATAGTAATTCATCCCTCATATAGTAATTCATCCCTCATATAGTATTTCATCCCCCCATATAGTATTTCATCCCCCCATATAGTATTTCATCCCCCCATATAGTATTTCATCCCCCATATAGTAATTCATCCCTCATAAAGTAATTCATCCCTCATAAAGTAATTCATCCCTCATATAGTATTTCATCCCCCCATATAGTATTTCATCCCTCATATAGTAATTCATCCCTCATATAGTATTTCATCCCTCATATAGTATTTCATCCCCCCATATAGTAATTCATCCCTCATAAAGTAATTCATCCCTCATATAGTATTTCATCCCCCACAGTACTATCCCCCCCCCCCTTCTAGTAAGCCAAGTCCCCCGTGTCAATTCACTTACCTTTTGCGTTCCTCTCGCTGTCTTCCCGCGCCGTTCGGGTCTTCAGGGCGGACTGTGAGAGGAGCCTAGCTCCCCTCCCCTCACGTTCGGCACGCTGCCCCGCCTACACACATCCTGACAGCCACATCCGCGGGCCGGATTAAAAGGTCCGCGCGGACTTTTGGGGCTGCCAACCGAGAGGAGGCAGGGGAGCGGCCGACCGAGAGGAGGGAGGGGAGCAGGCGCCCGGCACACAGAAGAGCCGCATTAGAGTGGGTAAAGAGCCGCATGTGGCTCGCGAGCCGCGGCTTGCCGACCACTGCCCTACAGGAACTCTTAATATCATTTTCAGGTCTCAGGGAACCCCTGCAAAAACCAACACATTGCAAGAATGCTTCCAGTACAGCAGTTGTCAGAATGCCCACCTTTCAGACAGCAAAAAATAATTATTGATGTCATGCAGCTGACTCTGCCAGATGGCATTGGACCTGGAAAAACCAACACATTGGTGGTCAATGGAAAAATGGCCACTTACATTGGTGGCCAGTGGGAAAGATGCTTCCTGTACAGCAGGGGTCAGAACGTCCCCATTACAGATGGCAAAAATAATTATTGATGTCATGCAGCTGGGTATGCCAGGTAGCATTGGACCCAGACTATGCAGGCACCATAAAATGGGGATCAGTCAGCCTTAGCTCAAGGAACTCCTTGCAACCTCTGCATGAACCTTAGTTGAGAATGGTTGGTATTGAGGTTTCCTCTTCATACTCACCGTGCCCCAGGTGCTGCTCATGACAAGGAAGTTACTGTTAATACTCTCAATTATGGCCAATAGTCTTTTGTCTTCATAATCAAACCGGCTGCCAAATATAATAGAGCAGATCACATTGGAGACTGTTCGAGCAAAGTATTTGGTGGGATTCACTGGAGCTCCTAGGAATATAGTCATACATATCATGATTATTTACTTTCAATGTTTATACAGTACTGGCACATTCATTTTTTCCTAAAGAGAATGTGTTTACTATCCACATCAGTTTATTGGCAAACCAAGATGCTCAAAGTGCAAACTATATATGGGCCCTATCCAGCCCTATATAATATCCCCTAACCGTTTAGGCCTTCATCCACTTTAAAGCCCATCCATTTTCCTAATTCATGTGCCCTCCCCCACAGTCTCCATTGCCACCTATGTATCCCCAGAATGTCTATGCCTCCAAACTCACTCATGGAAAGTACACTAAAAGGGAGCAAATAAGAGAAGTTCATTGTTAGGATTTACATACACTTTACTTTAATTCAGCCTCAATTCCCTTGGATCAATTTCTAAATGAAAGCATATGCTCGTTAAATATGTACATATGAATACCCCCCCCCAACTTGTATCCACAGTGGCTTGATAAGGGGACTTTTAAAGGCAGTGGAGCACAATTTGGTTGGGAAGGATGTACAGACCACTAATTACTGCAGAAGACTGGTGCAAGTGATCCAATGTAGTAACCATGCTACTATACCAGTCCCTAATCAAAAGGAGTATACAATCTAATGCACTACCTGAGTCACAAAAACACACAGATCAAGGTTAGATTTACACGGCCATCCTATGCACTGGCTTTACCCTCTTTATGTTTAGAAAAGGATAGACAGCAAGAGGTTGATGGAAGAGCAGTATAGCCTAAAACTATGAAAGCATATTTCTGCCCCTACTAAACTTTCTATAGAAGGCTATCTGGGAAGACCAACAGAAAAGAGCAATATTTTGTTGTGTCTCATGTTTTTGTATATAAATTTCTGTTGTGGATTTGATACTCTACTTTATCTTCTGTGGCTCCCCTGTTTATTCTTTACACAAGTCTTTAGAGTAATTTGAGAAAAAAACATCCAATAACAAACCCCCCAAAAAACAAAGAAAAAATCCAGCCAATATAGTCTTAGACTACTGGAGAAAGCCGGAGAATTTGGAGGACTCCAATGTAAACACAGGAAGAAAATATGCAATTAGAATTCATAGAAGGTTTTTAACCTAGAACATCAGTGGTGGATAACAAAATTTGATCTGGGCTAGGTCAACTATTATTTCAGCAATCTTGGCCCTGTACTGCCTTCTCTTTAATGCCCCTCCTTCTTCTGCACCCGACAGTTGGGGTATGCTGAAGCTGTGCTGGCACATGAAATATATCTGACTCTGGGTATCTGTATTTTCACCCACTACTGTGTACAAGCACATACAGTTACTTGAAGTGGCAACAAAGGCACCAAAGCAAAGTTTCAACATTCGCTAATCCACCTTGCACATATTGTATATTTCATTGGATGGTAATTGCAGTTCTTATATGTAAAGTAGCTAGCATATTAAGCTTACTGGTACTTTCATTCTTCAGAACTGTAAAAGTTTAATTTATTCATTCAAATTTTAAATATATTGAGATAACTTTATGTTTAGTCCCAACTGACCATTGCATAGTACACCATGTAATACCTTTGTGTAGAGATTTTATGGGTATCCAAAAAGTAACATTACTTATGTAATAATCTCAAAAATCCAAAAACTGTAATTATTCAAATAAAGTCCAATTTTAAATTAAAGTCCAATAAACAAATACGTGTAGTCCAAAAATTCAAGTGCAAAAACTCTCCGCTGCTTGCAAGACCTTGATTACCTCAAAAAAAAAACAAAAAAATATACATAGTGCATTATCCTTTATAAATAAAAAAATTAGCATATAAAATCAATCCGATAATATTCACCCAAGTGAAAACACGTGTATATATCAAACCACATACACATGTGATATACTGTGCAAAACCATGCATGTGAAAACACTCTACTGTGCTAAAAACTCATGACACAGTGCACACTTCTATCAGGGTAAGGAATGAATACCCTTACCAATGTTCAAAGCAATTCATGTTTTTGATCTCAATCCACAGAAAATTTGTCTGGTGATATAAATCCTTTTACAGATGTCCTCAGGGTTTGCTTTGTATGGATCCTTCCACCCTAGCAACTGAGATATGCTTCCACCATATACGCCAGCCTTTTCCTTATATTGTTTTTGTTCCATTTTCTTTTTGTCTCAAGTGATTTTTTTTACTGAAGCAAAGCAGAGTCTTCTGAACTTCAGCTGACAACCCAATGAAGTTCAGAAGACTCTGCTTTGCTTCAGTAAAAAAATCACTTGAGACAAAAAGAAAATGGAACAAAAACAATATAAGGAAAAGAAAGAAAATGGAACAAAAACAATATAAGGAAAAGGCTGGCGTATATGGTGGAAGCATATCTCAGTTGCTAGGGTGGAAGGATCCATACAAAGCAAACCCTGAGGACATCTGTAAAAGGATTTATATCACCAGACAAATTTTCTGTGGATTGAGATCAAAAACATAAATTGCTTTGAACATTGGTAAGGGTATTCATTCCTTACCCTGATAGAAGTGTGCACTGTGTCATGAGTTTTTAGCACAGTAGAGTGTTTTCACATGCATGGTTTTGCACAGTATATCACATGTGTATGTGGTTTGATATATACACGTGTTTTCACTTGGGTGAATATTATCGGATTGATTTTATATGCTAATTTTTTTATTTATAAAGGATAATGCACTATGTATATTTTTTTGTTTTTTTTTGAGGTAATCAAGGTCTTGCAAGCAGCGGAGAGTTTTTGCACTTGAATTTTTGGACTACACGTATTTGTTTATTGGACTTTAATTTAAAATTGGACTTTATTTGAATAATTACAGTTTTTGGATTTTTGAGATTATTACATAAGAAAAGTTATTTTATTGATTATCACTGAGCATATTTGTATTTATATTTGTACACCTCTAAGGGTAGAGGTGAAGTGTGCTTATAAATAGTTGGGGAAAATTAGTGATTTACATTTACAAAAAGTAACATTGTTTCCTCTATCTTCCTTTCTGGTCCTGATAACATCACTTTGGGTTATACCTGTCTGTCCTATAACATAATCTCCTAGCTGTTTTCGCTATAACAGGTGTCTCCAAACTTTTCAAACAAAGGGCCAGTATATGGTCCTTCAGACTTTAAGAGGGCTGGATTAGGGCCAGTAAGGATAGAAAATGTCCTGGCCCCAGCACCAATGAGAATATACATGGCCTCAGGGTTGATGGTCAGTAGGAGAAGTAGAGCCCCATCTTTGGTATTAGTGAGAAGAATAGTACACCATCATTGCTTCTAGTGGGAAGAATAGTACACCATCATTGCTTATAGTGGGAGGAATAGTACACCATCATTGGTTCTAGTGGGAAGAATAGTACACCATCATTGCTTCTAGTGGGAAGAATAGTACACCATCATTGCTTCTAGTGGGAAGAATAGTACACCATCATTGGTTCTATTTGGAGGAATAGTACACCATCATTGGTTCTAGTGGGAAGAATAGTACACCATCATTGGTTCTATTGGGAGAAATAGTACACCATCATTGATTCTAGTGGGAAGAATAGTACACCATCACTGCTTATAGTGGGAGGAATAATACACCATCATTGGTTCTAGTGGGAAGAATAGTACACCATCTTTGGTTCTAGTGGGAAGAATAGTACACCGTCATTGCTTATAGTGGGAGGAATAGTACACCAGCATTGGTTCTAGTGGAAAGAATAGTACACCATCATTGGTTCTAGTGGGAAGAATAGTACACCATCATTGGTTCTAGTGGGAAGAATAGTACACCGTCGTTGCTTATAGTGGGAGAAATAGTACACCGTCATTAGTTCTAGTGGGAAGAATAGTACACCATCGTTGCTTATAGTGGGAGGAATAGTACACCATCATTGGTTCTAGTGGGAAGAATAGTACACCATCATTGGTTCTAGTGGGAAGAATAGTACACAGTCGTTGCTTTATAGTGGGAGGAATAGTACACCATCATTGGTTCTAGTGGGAGGAATAGTACACCGTCATTGGTTCTAGTGGGAAGAATAGTACACCATCATTGGTTCTAGTGGAAAGAATAGTACACCGTCATTGCTTATAGTGGGAGAAGTAGTACACCGTCATTGGTTCTAGTGGGAAGAATAGTACACCGTCGTTGCTTATAGTGGGAGGAATAGTACACCATCATTGATTCTAGTGGGAAGAATAGTACACCATCATTGGTTCTGTTGGGAAGAATAGTACACCATCATTGGTTCTAGTGGGAAGAATAGTACACCAGCATTGGTTCTAGTGGAAAGAATAGTACACCGTCATTTGTTCTAGTGGGAAGAATAGTACACCATCATTGATTCTAGTGGGAAGAATAGTACACCATCATTGGTTCTAGTGGGAAGAATAGTACACCATCATTGGTTCTAGTGGGAAGAATAGTACAACATCATTGGTGTAAATGGAAGAAGTGCTGCCTCATTATTGGTCTCAGTGGGAGGAATAGTGCCCCAAGGGCTGGATAAAGGGTAGCAAAGTTTGGAGACCCATGTCATATAACCTAATCTCTTATCGTTCTCTCATGTAACCTAATTCTTTCCTAAACTCTAAACCTAGTTTTTTTAGCTTTCTCTATCATAATCTAATCTCCTGTCTCTTCTATGACCTAATCTCCTAACTCTCCTACAACCTAATTTACCAGCTGTCTGTCTATAACATTAGTGCCTAGCTATCTCTCCTATACTGTAACCTAATCTATCCATTTCTCCTATGATCTAATCTCTTAGCTGTCTCTCCTATGACTTAATATCCATGCTGTTTCTCTTAAACGTAATCTCCTGGCTGTGTCTTTTTTTTATTTGCACTTCTGTGACCCAGAATCGGCTGTCGGTGGGCCAAAG